GGCTGATGAGTTGAGGGAAGGAAGCTGTTCCCAGCAGTACAGGAAAAAATTGACAGATGGTTCCCCGCCCATTGATATTCAAACTGCTTTGGGCAGTGTAAGTGATAAAATGCTCCATTTCTATCTGGATAAATTTACAAACAATTCTAAAATTATAGAATGTGCAATCAAAACAGATTTCACACGGAACAGCCAGAAGGAGAAAACAATAAAATAAAAATAAAAAACCTATAGAAAGAAACATTTTTCTAGTCACAAATGTTCATTTAGTGAGTCCTGCTAGCTATATTGAACTATATCTGGCATTTATTAATTTTCATACCTTGCTCCCAATTTCACATACGTCAATGGGGTCATTATCACCTCCAAAACCTGTATTTTCATCAACATGTGATGGGTTTTCCCAGGTCTAAAAAGAATAAAATAAATGTTGGTTAGTGTTTGTAAAAAATTAGTGGCATTGCCATGCACTGCCACAATATATATATATATATATATATATTACACATACATACACACACATATACTACAACTCTAATTATGAATGCATCTACAGTTACAGTTTTCTCTTAGTCCCCCCTACAAAGTCTCACAAATAAAGGGTTACCAGAGGACACCCTGCTAACCACGCCCACTTAACCACAAAAATAATGCCCCTATTCGTAGCCACACCCACAAAATCACCAATAATCAATATGGCTGTGCATCGTGTAGGAAAGCTGGCCAGAGAGACGATTGCCGAGCCTATTAAGCCTGCCAGTGAAGTCCACCTGAGGCTTTAATGTGGCAACCATGCTGAATTGCTCCTGAACTGAAGTTGTATTCTTTGCTTAGGGGTGCATTTAAGTATTATCGTTCATCCCCAAATCCAGTACCGGTTGCTGAAACCCTCCCGCTATGAGCTGCAGTGCCTTAAGACACAAATCCGGGAGGATTTGCTTCAGTCAGGGAAGGTAAAGGAAGATTTACTTTGTGAGATTTATGCATTACATTATAAATGCTTTTGGTACTTGTTTAGACTGTCATACAGGAGCCTTTAGATGTACTTCAACACAGCCTACTGGGACTTCTTTCTCTTGGTATAAATGTGTGCTATGGCAGTTAATATTAAAGGGTGTTGACATAACTAAATATCACCTTGATATGGCTGAAGGGTTTTCTACTTGCTTAAGAAATCAGTGGGGACTGCCAATTAGTAGGTATAATTTCCTAATGCATCTTTCCTCCCAATCTCATGTGTTTTCTCTTGATCCCTTTAATGAATACAGAGTTTAATCTCCTATTCACATGCTGCTTTAAAAGGTAACCCACAGCAAATGCATTACACCTGCTTGTTCTAATGCTTTATCCTACACTTAGTGTTTTTTATACATTGTTATTGTTAATCAAGTCATATGATTTTGGTACCTACATAATATTATAAAACCTATGTTTATTCATAATGTTATTGCTTATGGTATCCATTCTATAGTTGTATGTATCAGATTATTTTATCATTATCATGTCACTTATTCACCTCAGATTAGGTATGCCCTTAGATATATGCCTGTCTATCAGCATCGTTATGCCATAGTTATACCATATATTTAAGATTCTGTTTATGTATATTGTTTTATCAGTATTTGGTGTTTCACCTAATGACATGAGTTTTTGATTAGATTAGTCTTAGTGATGTTGATCATTGTTTGAATTTTATTTTTCTTCTATGAATTTAAAGAGTATTTCCGCTTTTGCAGTCAAATTTGAGAACCCCTCTCACTATATGTGTGTTCCCATTCACACAGCAAACCTAAAAATAATGTATAAAATACTTCTACCATTCTAGTTAGGAACTCTGTAGGCAGCTTGTATTGCTCGGAATAAATTGCAATGTGCTTATTTAGGGACAGTTACCACTCAAGCACTGATTTTTTTTAACCCTTTGTTAGGGCACATATTCTGCACATCTAGTTTACAACTGATAATGCCAGCACACAGACAGGGTTAATTATGGTAAACATAACTCCCCAGCCTCTCCAACATCACATAGAAGAGGAAAGCCAAGATGCATTTTTCAGAGGACAGTAAATAGAAAGATAGGCAGCATTCTTTTTTTTTTAATTATGCGATGTGAATGGAAACATGTAACAAATATAAAATAGGTGTTATCCTAATTTGGCTGCAAAGTAGGGATGCACCGATACCATTTTTTCGGTATCGAGTAATGATATTTATCTTTCAGTACTCACCAATACAAAAGGTACCGATACCAGTACTTCTGTTAGCATTGAGCTGGTTTCCTGCTGCCTGCCTTCTTGATTGTCCAGGAAGCTGGCTCCATGCTGATTGGCTGGGAAGCCGGCTTCCCAGCCAATCAGCATCGAGTCGCCCAAACAGCATGAAGCCAGCTTCCAGACCATTCAGGAAGCAGGGTGGCGAGTCATTACCTGCCTGTCTTCCTGATTGCCTGGGAAGCCAGCTTCATGTTACCTCGTGGCACTGTTGGTCAGAGGAAATCTCCTTCTGAACGGAAGTTCCAGTATCGGGGAAGGTATCAGAGCATTTGGGCGAGTACTAGTACTCGCCCAAATACTCAGTATCAGCACAGATACTAGTATTGGTATCGGTGCATCCCTTCTGCAAAGGTGGAAATACACTTTAAGGCAATCTATTAATAATATGATTGTTAACTTATAGTGGATTTGATCACTGTTATAATGTTATCATTGTTCGAATAGGTTATAGCAACATATGTACAAAATATAGCAGGTTAGGTCGAATAGGTTATAGCAACATATGTACAGTATTTAGAATACCAAGACCCATACAGATCCTTATATCCGAGTGGAATCAATGTTTCCAGGGGGACGTAAGTGAAATTTCATAGTGTTTACCTTGTGGTTAAGAAATTAAGAGGTGATTTCATACTCGAGCTGCTTATTTTACATGCATGTCCTTTTATTGTAGCTCTGATAAGGGTATTGTTCTTTCTCCCTAAAACACATTGGCTGTTTTCGAGCCGTCATGCAGGTTCCAAATTAAAAGATCAACGTTTTGGACTCTACAATCAGTTTTTGGCACTATCATTACTTCGTTATAATCTCCTTCTAAGGGGCTGGTCTGAGACCATTTGACAGCAGCGCTGAGACAGCTTTTGAGGATTTAGAGCTGCTCAGATTTTTTTGAATGATGCAACTGCAGTTTTCAATGAACTTCCCTGACGTAATAGCTCCTGCTTCCCGTTTCCAACTGTTTGCTTCCGTATGCTTGCCATCATAAAACTTCCAGTGCAAAGATCTTCTATTTCAACGTTAAAACTGAGCAATTGTTCAACAGGTATTGATTTGACCATCACTTTTTATATCTAATAGATATTTTTGTTATTTACTTTGATTGATGATGTGATGTTAGTTGTGAGAGAAGGCAAATAGCAAAGTTACTCTATCTACAACATCAATTAGCTTGGTTATTTCAAAATATTGTAGCAATCAAGTATTATTTATTGATCATGTTTCTGCGCATGAATAAAACGTATTTTAGAATACCAATTTAACAGATGCTTAGCCTTTTTTACTATATTGCTTTTTTTTTTTTTTAGTAAACTCACAACAGAAGTCTACAGGTGTTAGATAATTCATTAAGCTTTCAATGTTGAAATTAATTAGGTGGCTTGGAATGTTTATTTGTAACAAAGGTAACCATTTATAAAAGCCGTACACTGTGGTGGAAAGAACACAAAGAAGAGGTGGCTAATTAATATGGCTTTTTACAAAACTGAGTGTTCTGCAGACAATATTGTGTGTTCTACATGAACTAAAACATACACACACATTTGTGAGTAAACAAAACAGTACTTTACACTGAGATGCGTAGCTATGATTCATCATGGTATATTTTATTGCAATTGTGTTTCACCTTTCCTGTTTTACTGCAAAAAAAGCATTTCACGTAGAAATCAAAATCAAATGTATTGCTATGTGGATAGTTCACATCATGTTAAGAAAAAAAATAGGACATGTAGCATCTTTCTGCTTATATGAACTATAAGCTTGCTTATTGATATGAATAGCAAATGCACAAAAACATGCATCATTCATCTCCATCTTTAGCAAATCTGCACAATGAAAAGTCTCTATTTTTAAGGTTATTTCTTAGCATAACACATGAAGATTAAGGGTGGGTCACACTGTTGCAGGGCATTAAAGTAGAGGCAGCACATGTGTTGTGCATAAGAGCACTCTGTATTGCTGTACCACATAAAAATGTGTGTTGATGGGCACAAAAACGCATGGGCAACAGTGTAAAATAGGGCCTTAAAATCATCATGATTCAGAACATGAATCAATGCACTTTAAAAATAGACATTAATGCAAGGTGTTAAAGGGCCCTTTACCTAAATGTGCCCCATAATCTACTGCATTATTAAGCAATCTAGTTCTAGAACGTAATAATAAAAATAATTATAATTATAATAAATACAGTGGTTAAAGTGTTATTTTTACCCAAGCGCTCTGAAGATCTTCAACTGTAGAAAAGATTGACTAGCTAAAGAGTTATTCTGGCTAGCACTGAGGCAACATATCAGCACTAAAGATACTAATGTATGAATTGGACAGAACATGTCAAGTAGGTCAAATAACTGGAGCCAGTTTTGTAGCTTTGCTTTGAGCGTTTATTGATTTCACTTTACATGAACTGTCACTTTTGCTTTTAATTATAAGGGGCCAACTGTAAGCTTGACAGAAGTCATGAGGGTAAGGTTATTTATTATTCATGAAGATAACACCTGTCACCTAAAGACTATAAAACTCTATAAACCTCTTAACCCCTGAATAATGAACTACGAAGAACACTTACTTGAAAATGTGTTGCAAAACCTGCAACACATTTCTAAGGTAAGAAACAAAAAAACACAACAACAACACTAGTTTTCTTGAATCATTTAGACAACACTTGGGGAAACAGCAGACAGGAGCTGAATTTACTCCAAAATTAGAAGCCCATTGTAAATGTTTTTATAGCCACGGTAGCCTTTAAAAGTATTAAAAATCTTGAGGCACCCCAGTCTAAAATGTAAAAATGACTAAAAAAACGGATATGGAGTTAAAATTAGAGTCCCCCCCCTCTCTTTCACATCAGAGTCCCCACTCTTTATGACAGAGTCCTACTTTATAAACATTACTACAGTGTGTGGCTGTGGCAGCATGGCAGAGGACAGGAGGTGGAGTGGGGGAGGACTTTTGTGCTTTTCTGAATGCGGTGGGTGGTCCTGGATACAGTCCCCCCAGATAAGTGACATGCATTTCCATGGTGCCGTTGGCTGGCTCACATGTACCATGGAAATGCATGTGGAAATTAGAAGGCGCCCCTAACAAAGCCAGAAGGCACCGTGGTGGAGAAAGGTTGCTCAAGGCATATCTTACATTCACA